CAATTTCGTGAATTGGTTGAAGTTAGACATTAACACCGTTGGATGCAGCTGGATCAGTGGTCTAATGTTTAAGCGTTCGCATGCGAGACTGACAGATCCTTAGTTCGAATCTCGCCGGGGGGGATCTTGGATGCTCACTGCCATTGAGGTGTCCCATACTGTGACGAAACGGCCATCCAGTGCTTCCATGTTTTCTATAGTGGTCTAGTGTTTCAATTGACTCATGATTTCAACTATTAAAATTACTAAAATTTCAACAAAACCCCTTCTGTTATTATTAGATACATGACCCAATTTGTTGACATTTAATATGGATACATAAAAATATGTAAAAAAAAAACAAGAACAATGTTTACCTTTTTAAGAACCTAATCAATATTCAAATTATTGATTGTCTATGCATATGTATATGAGCAAGTGGAGGTTATTAATTTGATATGAATAGACTTTACACTCATGAAAATGATTTTTTTTCTCACAAGAATATTTATCATACCGTTATTTTCATTAAACATTATAGTAATAATGATTAGAACGTTGGATACTAAGTCTTTCTATAAAAAAAAAGATAAAAGTACCATACTCTACTTTAGTTTAATTGATTGACTTGAACACTTAATCGGACTATATTGGCTGAAGCATTTGTCTCTTTAAAGTTTTACTATGTCAGATAGGTAGGTTGGAGGATGATTAAATTAGAAGACAATAACTTAAGTGTTCCCTATAAATAGTCAGCATCTACAGTGACGCTATATCTTCAAAAAAGAAGGGACGTTTAGATGTTGAAACTAAAGTTAGCGTATCTCTGTTTATGGAATAAATTTCCGTCGCTAGCTAGTAAAGTTCTTAAAGTAACAAAATAGCATGCCACTTCGTCAACTGATTTTGACCTTCTATCAAGAACTATGACGTACATGATTGTTATCGACGGTACATTTGTCTAGATATGTTAAATATTACATACTAGAAATCAATGTACATTTCTGGATTCAAAACATATCAATATATCATTTAGATGTTAATAGTCATTCAAGAAATTATTAGTAGTATATAATGCTTTCAGATTATAAATTAATAATGTGAAACATGAACTTTCTGTCTACCCTAGACTATCAGATATATATCAATGTTAGCGAGAAATTCATATTGCACAGCCCAGTTACACTACCAAAATATAAGTATATAAGTATGCAGTCTTCCATATTTTTCAAGATTCAGTAAATATATTCTTTTATGGACCAACAATATGAGTAAAGTTAATGCTTCTATATGAGATGATAAAATGATCAGAGCTTACAACAGGAAACCATGGTACATACCTGTTGTCATCTGTAAGCGTGGATTTGTTTGGTGTATCAGGAACTCCATTAAAGTTTTTTAACAAAAATACACAGCTAGGTCTGTATGTACTGTTAGATATTAACGAAATATACATTTTGAAATGAACTATAGGAGGAAAATCTAATTTATGTAATGTGAATGGAAATCACATAATACACCAATAGAATTATGAACACTTCATGTGTCTATTAACTAGACGGAGTAAAAACCAAAGCTGTGATATATCAGATAATACCTTAAGGAAAACTAAAGCCATGGTGATAGCCTGCTAATTATTTGATGTTCATAGGAAACTCGGAGATAGTTACTTTCTTATTCTGAACGGTACGTTAGGTCACCTAAGACTCATAATTATTATTATTTCACCTACATAAACATCACATCTATAGCTGTTTCCCAAGATAATTCAGTAGCTTTTTTGGGTTAGCCAAATGTTTTGAGAATTCACTAGGTCACTGTGTCTACTTAAGACAATCGCATATGGTAACAGAATATAAATACTTATAGTAGCTTATAAACGAGTGAGGACGTAATCAATCCGAACCAAATCCCAAGGAATCGTCAACATATAAAAAACGAACAAGTGTAGAGTACTTGTTTTTATTTTAAAGTTTTTGCGAATAATAATAAATATATTTTTCGTTATATTCTAATGAGTAGAAAAATTATATTTCTGAAGTTTCGTGATTTAATGTGGGCCACTTCTTCAGAACAAATATGTGGATGTCTTTTTCATCGGGATAATTTGTACAGAACTTGAAACCTTATTTATTCTATTCTCTGAAAATATTCATAAATTATACGATCGCCAAAACCTATAGATATAAGTACAAACCGTACATGATAGTCGAAAAGATTTGTTGGAATCATTGGATACATAATTAAAGTAGATACATTCACTCTTTTTCTTTTCCTACATTGTTTTTAATTAATACTTTTCTATATTCTGCAATTTCATTCTTTCTTCTCGAATCATATCATCTACCATTAGTATCCATTCTACTGCTAAATACTGTTCATATTTTTCACAATTGATTTATCATCGGGTGATGACCAATGTCATATGTGTCTAGTCCTTCTTAGTGCAGATCGAATGCTATTGACCAAGTTACAATGTGGCCACTAGTCTAGATGACTCAACAGTGCGTACACTATGTTGAGATAAGATGGTGGTTGGAGGTAGTCAACAGGAAACCCTGGATCCGGGTTTCATGCTATTTGGCACTCGTCAGAAAGGTGTACCTGTAATCTTGAGGGAACTGGTGTTCCCTGACGGGTTTGATCCTGTGTCACCCAGCTTTACAGTCAGAGACGTTACCACTAAGCTATACGGGCCACGACCGACTTCCTACCGAACTGAGATGTATTCACAATTGATTGATCACTGGTGTTGATCAATAACATGTGTGTAAAGTCCTTCTTAGTGAAGATCGAATGCTATCAACCAAGTTGCAATGTGGCCACTAGTCTAGGTGACTCGAAATTGTTCATACTTTTACTACATAGGAATTTATTCTCAACTGGTGTGCATATGTGTACTTTATTCTGACTGACTAGAAAAAATAACTGAGTCAAGAAAAGAAATAAGTGTATTCACAAATGAAATACATATGATATGGATTAAAATCATCAACATTAACCAATTACAAAATATCGAACAATGGATAAGTCTAAATCAAAACAAAACCAAAAAGGGAGACTGAAAAAAACGCAGGATAAATAAAATTATCCACACTTTTCTTTACAATAAACAGAATGAGTGAAGATACTTTCTTTTACTCTGGTAATTGTTGTAAAAATGTATATGGGAGAAAATGTTGTGATACTTCTATGAATAGATCTCGTGGAATTGTACATAGGATAGGGAAATCTGGAAATGAATCACAAACACACCACGTTATATCATTTAAGATAAGTTTGGCTTGAATGGGTAGCAGCAATCGTAAGCAGTTGTTGATTAGGAGACGTAACGCTAGAAAGATTAACTGTTTAAAAAAATCTACGAGGAAAAATACCTTGGTGTTATAGTTTCTCGACTGATTTGTGAACGACTGGAAAGAAAAGAAAAAAATAAACATACATATTCTCAGATATGTTGAGCAAACTGAAGGTATTCACAAGACGATAGGGTTTTTATAGTAACTAAATGAAAGTTTTAATTACAAAAGGACTGTGAAGTTGATGAACACAACGATTAGATGGTAAAACTAGGAGTGGATTAAAAGTTAAGTCAATTTGAAAAGAAAGTTGAATCTTGAGCTGAAGCTCAGGCTATCGCATATACTCATATCAGCCGGTTAGAATCAACTTAAAGCTTGGGACAAATGTGAGTGGGCCTAAGTTTCCATACCATGTTAGCACGAGATAAAATTAACAAGATAAGTGGTGAAACAATAGAAACAATTTAGTACCAATCATAATAAGAACGACCAAGCACAATATCTTGTTCTTATGGATTACTAACTAAGGTCAGGAATTAAATTTGAAATATTAGGGAGTTAGTCTCGAGGCAGTAAGTGTGATCAAAATACAAGTCTTAATGTCACATCATATAATTCTAGCTAGTACTTTACCGATGTCATAACAAAATAGTATCCTATCTCATCCATTTTATTTCGTGAATCCGGGTGTTATGATTGGTTTTCACAAACAAAAATGTCCCGTTCAAAGACAAATACATCGACCTAAACTTGTAAAACAATAAATTGCATTTACACTATACGTGTGCTATTAAATGATTCGATGAATCTCACGAAACTTCGGAATGGACCAGCGCATGAAATCACGATAATGCCAACTTGAATGACCAAAGATGGATTCAAGTTGCAACAAAATAATCCAGTTAATTTCATAAAATCGACTTTAATTTGACCGTGGATAATTTATTATGGAGGTTAAAAAATCTGACAAATAAAGGTATAATAAAAATTTAGACTAGATTTTGCGCCAGCTGGTAGTCATATCTGTATAGTATAAGTTCCTTCCAAGTCTTGGCAGGTAGAGGGCATTACAAAACTTTTAAAGTTACGTTGCTCACCAAATGAGTTACAGTTCATTCAAATAATGGATCTTTATCCTTGATAAGGAAAATTCTAAAATTTGAGCGAAAATAAATCATAACTTAAGAAAGGTTATTATCTTAGTAACATTAGGACCTTTGTGAAATAAAATGCCAACTTCAAAAAATTAGTGTCATATCTATAGGCGATTGATTTAAACTGAACAAAAGCAATCAGATATAAATATATTTCATTAACTGTATGCAAAAGTTCTTACCGGTTATGACTCAGCCATTCATACATTCAGTGATAGTAACCGACTATTACTCTGAATAGAACAGGTATTAAGTTGCATTAAGGTTTGAGAGTCAATCATATCAAACTATAAAACTTTATAGATGAAAGGTGACTTAAATCCGTTACCCTCTGAACGTAGGATATTTATATCAATCAGCTAGTTTCGGTTGAACAATGTTATGTAACATTTCAAATAGGTTACAACCCGGTTACTGAGTGCCACACTTAATAATAAGTATAAAAACTGCATAACAAGACTTAATACTAAAGAGAGAAAAAAAGGAATTAAACGTACCATCTTCCACTAGGTTACCAGCAATACCGGCTGTACTGTTTAACACTGAATCGATATCTTCCGAATGCTCAAGAACGAACGGTCGAATCAAGCGTCGATATATAAGCAAGGATCCATTTTGTGAAATAGGAATCATGCAATAAATTAGAAAAGCACACTGTAAGGTAGAAAGAAATCAGGTTCGCGGGAGCTTTATTAGTAGTTACTATTGCAAAAGAAGTTAACAAACATTTAGAAATTAAAAATCTCTACATTAGACTACATCACTCTCACTCATCATTAAGAATCTTCTCATAAATAAAGTGTAATAAAATTCCGAAACGGTTTGTTCCATATATATATTCACATGTCGATCTACATAGTTGGTAAATCTAACGACTATAATTTTTAAATCGTATTGATTTTTTTAAAAAGTAAAGATTACATGTGAATGAAATGTAGTTTCTATCAGGCTAATGTAGAAATGTAATAGTGAGAAGCCAGACACACGCCTGCCTAGTAAGTGGATCTGTAATCTATTTTTGATTTACATTCGTGTGTCATACTGTTTGTACTAGTTTTAGCTAAGGAAGTGGACTGCCAACTGAAAAGATATTCAAATACTGAAGAACCACAAACATTTACGCTTGTTTCCGTGAGTTAAACGAGAGAAAAGCTAAGCAACCCAAAAAATTACTTTTATTATGGGATATAACGGTAAGTAGTAGACCATCATTGCTGTACAGGCTTCGAAAAGTTGAACAGAAGCAAAAACAACCCAGTAGGTTAGCCATTTTGTATCGTCTTCTTTCTCGTGAGTTTCTATGGCTTTAACTCTAGAAGTAAACATGATTTGCAAATGAATACTCACGATTGATATGCTGGGTACAAAGCACCAACAAGTAGAGTAAGTATATCCGTCCCATAACCAATGACTAAGTACAACGTCAAAAACACAATCACTCCTTTTTAATAACTAGAAATGTGGAACTTACCATATGCTAAATACAGTTTACTGATACCTGAACGTGTTTCACATACGCTTAGGAAATCAGTAACAACATTCTTCTTCTCCAGGTACTCAGAAAACCGTACCTGATAAGACCTTAACTTCTCCATCGCGCTCTTGCAGAGTTAATGTACCGACAGTGTAACATAACTAAACTTCAAACTTTGTCAAACACTTCAATTTCAATATATTGACTGCGAATATAAAGATGGATATTTCTGAAATGAGTTTATAAGTCTTGGTTTTGAAAACGTCTTGGTATACACGGTACTGTCTCACAGGCCTCATAGATGTCTCAGTTAACCACACATAAAAAATGCAACACTAGTTTAACTGATCCTCTATAAAAGTGGTGATTTTAAGATTTTGCATCATCTACACCAAGCAATTGATTCAACAAAAATATAATAAGAATTCCTAAAATTTACTCCAGTTCTGTGTTCCTGAGTTATAGACTGTTGCTCTTTGCATAGATACTTCCTCAGCTTTAGACAAAGTTTTTGAAATGACACAGTAAATGAATCATCTCGTTGAAAGACGAATGATTCACTTATTCTCCTAACAAAAATCGGTAGATAGTCATCGGTAGCTATTCCATGTCACTTAGATTTGCAGTAGTCAAGGTTATGACTTTGATATGCTGTTTAGAGCCAGTGAAATGTCATTGGGCCCTAGTCAAATCATTCGGCAGTCGGGTCACTGAATATCTAGCAGTTCATTGACTCTCCTCAAGATCGACGAAAACCAAGGCGCATTATTTGACCGCACACCATGCACTGGCTTAAGCAGCAGTGTTCGTACTCTGTTCTCTGTAACCTGTACTTCTGTAATAACGTTGTTTATGTTATACTGTCATCAATGTAGCCGTAGTACGCGGATACGACGAAAGAGTAACCCACATTGAGTTGTGACCGTTGAATTTGACTTTGATGTCAGCCAGGTGGTTACGCTATTCCCGTCTGATTCTATTAGGTCCCCAACCATTCAACACAGATCATCTGCGTTGGTGATTTACGGCAGTTTGTCACTCGCTAAAATATTTGATCATTTATTTATGGTGATTCGGAAAGTCATTTTTCGTCATTAGGCGTTTACACGCGCCAGTATGGAAACTCTCGAATGTACTATCCTTGAGTAGTAACATCTGTTTTCTGCAGCAAAAAATCACGGTACTTTCCTTTTTTTGTGTAAACTTGGTGTTATACATAGTTATCTTTCCGGAGGTTCCAGACCCGATCAAAATTTCTCACCTCTTCAGCCTGTCAACCCTCTGGGGTGTTGAATGCCTTTGACTGTTCTTCCCATTTGTTCCCAAGCTCTGTTCATATTTTGAATATCCACATTCATTTCTCGAGACCACGTGCTCTCTGATGTAGCACTTTTCCTATCACCTTGAGGATCCCGAGTAAGAGATTGTCTCTTGATATAGATTGATAGTTTCCACAATGTATGCCATACCCAAATCAGCATGGAGCCCCTCTAGGGTTACTGCTGGTCAAAAACCCGGATGAAGGAGGAGGTTTTGGCATAGGGTTTGCCACCTCATCCCGTAAAAAACTAACTCGCTAAAAAGCACGAACCAAAAAAGATTATTTAAACCATTTAAACTCTTCTCTGGGAGTTAGAAGGTCTTCATTTAGAGAAGTTATGACGCTCCATGGTGAAAGCCGAGCTCCTTTGGAAGTTACGAGACTGATGCCCATTCTGAAAACCAGAGCAACCGTTAGTTTAGGTAAGTGGAATGTCCGTACAATGTGTGAGGCCGGGAGAGTCATCCAAGTTGCTACAGAAACGAAAAGATGCAACGTGGAAGTGCTTGGAATCAGTGGAACACATTAGACGAAGGTTGAACAACAAACCTATGTGCCTATAACAAACTAGCCACAAGCAGCACTATATTCCCACATAAACGCTCACACAAAGCCACACGGACTTCACCGATCATGCTACACAGAATCAAATCGACTATAATTACAATTGATTGATCACTGGGTGGTGATCAATGTCTTTCTTGTCTAGTCCTTATTAGTGCAGATCGAATGCTATCGATCATGTTGCAATGTGGCCACCAGTCTAGGTGACTCGACACTGCGGGCACTATGTATTGAGATTTAGATGGTGGCTGTTGACTACCTCCAACCACCATCTAAATCAACTATATCTGCATCAATAAGAAGTTTGGTAGGATGATGGTTGTCAAGATGAAAGTAGAACTCAAAATGAACTAGTCGATGGGCGGACGACATCGCAAAATTTTAATACGCCCTTTCTTGTAGATCCAACAGAATGAAGATAGACTGGAAAGAAGAACACTTCGTCAAGATACAAAAGAAAAGGGATCTGTGAAGGAAACATGAGACAGTTGTATGATACAACAAAGAAACTCTCTGAAAATTGTCGTAAAACAGAACGTAAAACAGACCAGAGAATGGAATTCATCACTCCACATCATGTTCACTTACTACGAGAAAGCATTTGATAGCGCGGACAGGACAACACTACAAAGGCTTCTTTGACACTACGGCGTACTTGAGATGATAGACAGTATCATACAGAATTCATATGATGGATTACACTGCAAAATCGTGCATGGAGGATAGCTCACAGACTCATTTGAAGTAAAGACCGGTGTCAGGCAAGGTTGCTTACCCCCACCCTTTCTCTTTCTCCTGGTGATCGACAGGATCATGAAGACATAAACATCTGGTGGGAAGCATGGGATACAATGGACATCTAGGATGCAGCTGGACGATCTAGACTTCACATATGATCTGGCCCTTTAATCCCAAACGCAACAATAGATGCAGGAGAAGACGACCAGTGTAGCAGGAGCCTCAGCAGCAACAGGTCTCAATATACACAAAGGGAAGAGCAAGATTCTCCGATACAACACAGCATGCATCAATCCAATCACAACTGACGGAAACGATTTGGAAGTTGTAAAAACCTTCACGTATCTAGGCAGCATCATTAATGAACACGGTAGATCTGATGCAGATGTTATGGCGCAGATCGGCAAAGTGAGAGCAGCATATCTACAACTGAAGACCATCTGAAACTCAAAACAATTGGCAACCAGCACCAAGGTCAGTATTTTCAATACAAATGTCACGACAGTTTCGCTGTATGGGGCGTAAACCTGGAGAACTACGAAATCCATCATCCAGAAGATACAAGTGCTTACTTACAGTTGTCTATGTAAGGTACTATCAGCAACATCCTACTGTAGGAGAGAACAAACTTAATTCAAGAGGAGGAAGAAATTTTGAAGAAGCGTTTGAAGTGGATAGGACACACATTGAGGTAAGCACCCAAATGCGTTATAAGGTAAGCCCCCGCCTGTAATCCTTAAGACCAAAAAAGAAGAGGAGGAACAGAGAACACAATACGCCGAGAAACGGAGACAGACATGAGAAGAATAAACAACAATTGGATAGAACTAGAAGGGGAGACCCAGAACAGAGTGGACTGGAGAATGCTGTTCGGTGGCCTATGCTATATTGGGAGTAACAGGCATAAGTAAGTAAGATGTCATACCCACGCCCAAAATCTTTCTCTAATCTTCTCTTCACCTGGAAACTGGTTTGTTCTCTACCACAGTAGGTTATTACTGAGGGTATCCGACCAACAGATATTGAGTATCTTGCGAACACAAATGTGTATAAATACCCGTACGTTTTCGGTAATAGTCGCAGTGGTTCTACAAGTTATAGCTCTATACAAAAGATCTGATTTAATTATAAGCTTGAAAATCTTATCCTTGGAGTCGTGTTACGGCTGCAATTAAACGCAACTCAATTTCGTAAATGTGCCCTTCAGCCTAGCAACCAATCAGAATGAGGCGGGAATTACTACATCCGCCATCTTAGTAAGTAATGGAGGTCGGCTTTCTTCGTTCTGTGCTTCTTTCAGTTATTTCTTTTTTGTAGCTATGTAATTTAATGTTTCGGTCTGTTAAAATGCCGCAGTTAGTGTGATGTTCTACATGTTGGTGTGAAATTTACTTCGAATCAGCATTGTTTTTTGTTGCTTCTACTCAAGCCAATGTATTTCTTCAGCCAAGCTGGTTCGTCTTATGTTTGAAAATGGTAATCGGTTTTGTTTTGACTTGTTTTCTAGATATCCAAATCCGAAGTTCCTTTTTTAGCTGAAATAACAGTTGCTGCAGACTGTGACTAACTGTCCGCATGTTCATTCCTAACTGTCCTTTATGATGTTATCGGCAAAATGAAAGGAAACAATTTCCGGTTTTTAATTTTCTTCAGTATTATGGACAACAATATCCCACTGAGTCAAACTAATACTTAGTGCCTAGCAGTAGATGATATCAGTATTGTTTTCGAAAGGACCCAAACTTCCGACAACCATAAACGAAGTCACAGATGTTACCAATCTATTGCAGAGGGTTTGTTATGAAAAATATGCCATGTAGCAGTAATGGAGGGGTTGTACGCATTACGTAGTGCGTAAAAGCAACTTAACATTGAAAAGCTGGAAATCTGCTATCAGTGTGTAGTGTATGTTTGCTTTTTTGGCCATAAAAGGAAGCCGAAGGGTCATGATCAGGGAGTAAAAAGATAACTAACTGTTATTAAGCTCACCTTTTTATAGAACATAATTCACCTTTCACAAATTTGTATTTTTTTACGGTATGATGTCAACCGTTATCTAATATGTTCACCCTTACGATGAAAAGTACCTCACCATCATATTCGAATTATTTTTGGACAACTGTCTTCCAGTTTGAGTTCTTCGTACGCCCTGGGAGACTAGATTCCTACATTATTCATAGTTCCAGTATAACTTTTTCACGCAGTAAGTTCAAAGTAGACACTAGTCTTTCTAAATAAGCCTGTTAAGCTAATATCCGTATTCTCTATTTCAGTTGATCGTTGAAGACATGTAACACGTGTTTCGTGCCTATAGGTAACCCCCGTACTATTGATAGAAGAAACCACAGAATTATGGAGTACGTGTTTATTTCGATCTTAGCGCAGTCACAGTGGAGCGTGGGATTATCTGTTCAGACAAACAAAGGCTTTCAGCATTCAATATAAGATAATAAGGAATATAACGCTTATACAAAATAAGGAAGTGAGTGAATACTTGA